ACAGTTATTGTTAAACTCAATCAAAGAAAAATTTGGAACATGACAAGCAGAGGGAACAGAAATGGTGGAGATTTGAGATGAGCAAAAATATTGCTTTGATTACTATTAGCAAAAATAACATTTCTCGCCAATCCGATGCTACAAATCCTATAAAATCACTACCCTAACAAGTTTGTTTGAATGTTGCAACTAACATCCTTCTCCAGTGGTGTCTTATACTCTTTCTCGTAAGCAATTCGAATCGCAGCCAGTTGGTCGGGAGTACGGGAGCATAGGATCTCAATGAGCACCGCTTCATCAGTGCCAAGGCCCTATAAGAAAAAACGCTGAAAGATGTATGATCAAGTGTATTCGCTTCGTCCTGTTTTTTAGCCTCACTGACCTTAATGGCTTGTTTCAGCTGCTTGACATCGTAGTCTAGGGGAGTTTCCATAAGAGCGAACACAGTTTTCTCCAAATCTCCACCTAGTTTCTTGTCGAGAGCAGATATGATGTCTTTACCGTATTTGATTTTGTAAGGTTCACGCAACTGTAAATATTTGTTTTCCATGGATGACTGAACTCGGTCAAATGAGGAGAATAAGAATTTGTTCACATCTTTAAGTGACTTTTTTGGACGATTTACTCTAAAAGAAAACTTGGAAAATTTTTCTTATTTTCATCTGTTTTACGGTCAAATTAGGGGTTGCTATGTGTTACCGCATGATAGCATTCGTTTTATTTTCTTACGCTCTATAAATAAACATACTGACTGATTCTAAAGGTGAATAACAGAAAATACACTCTCCCACTACCTTTCCTTCAAAGTTCTGCAAAGCTGGCACGTCAATACACATCTCTTTTCATAGTATCAAAGTAAATTATTTCAGGATGACAAAAAAAATGTCGCACGGACTTTTTTCATAAATATGAGAAGCTATTTCAAGCCTTGATTATAGAACCAAACAAACAGGCCTCCAACCAACCCCAAATTAATCCGATTTCAAAATGTTTCAATCGTCGCAAATACCATGTTTATGTGATGAATTCTTGAGATTCTTCCTAGAAGACGATTAATTGCAAAAAGAAAATTCTTGTGCGAAAAAGTCGTAAAGTACTCACAGCGGTTCAGTTCAATACGTTAATCAGTTTCTTTCACCTCAAAAAAATTTAATTCGTGAAGCTTTAAACTAAAGACGATTATATCATGTTAATGCATAGTTTTCCGTGATTTATCCTAATCTCATTTTTGCTCAAACCACCATATTTTGGCAACATGTTGTATAATAGCGCGTTCACCGCTATGTACAAGAAATTCGACTTTTTTCTGAATTTTAAGCTAAAAAATGTAATTTAGGGTCAACATGAAACAGATGTTGCGACTTTTTAGTGTTTGCCTCCAAATTTGGCCAAAAAACTTGTTGACGGCTCATGTTTGTTCCTTTATGAAGCAGGTTGGCACATTAAGTTCATTTTTTAGCCCTCAAGATAGTCTACAAATCGGGAGTTTGTGTGAGTTTGGAGAAGACCATTTGAAGAGTGCAAGCCCTTGTATTTCCCAGAGCTTGCACT